GAGGTGCTTCCACTTTGGGATTCATCTGGACAAAAGGGGCTACTGCCATGTCCCAACATTTAGCTCCATAGGAGCTTTATGGGAATAATGGAGTCTCCCACTTTTGTGGAACAAAGGAATCAAGAGTCCATTATGCATAATCTTTACTTCCTGCATTATCTGTTGAGCATTCATCCTTGACTCTTCTCCCAATGGTGGGGTCTCAGGCAGATCCAGTCCTCTCAGAAATGTGATGATGCTCATGTTCCTGGGACAGGGTTTGGATACAAGGGTTCTGCCCTCCTTTCAGCTAAAGAACTGGAGCCCTTGGGAGGTGAGGTTTGCTTCAGGGACTCTGCCTCTGCTGGTCTCAGTAGAGTCAGGGGAGCCAGGAGCTGCAGTTGGATGACATTGCTACTGTTACAATAGACTTAAGAGGTTGATTTTGGGGTCGGGGTGTGGCTCTCCAAAAGCTGAACTTCACCACCACCTGTGGGTTTCTGGGTTGTGACACTCTCTCCTCCTGTCGATTGTCAGGGTGCTTCTTGCCTGCATCTGGCTCCAAGTCCACGTCCCTCAGAGCTTCATTTTCAGAGAGCATGAAGCAAGCCGGCATCGTGAACACAGCAGACGACTCTGCTGGCCTCCAGGGCTCTCTTTGCCATGTTCTTACAATTAAGTATGAAGCCTGTTCCAGGAAGATGCTTTCCCTCCCCCACTCACTACCAAGTTCCTGAGCCTCAAACAACTCCTCAGGAAACCAGGCAGAAATGGGCTTGGGAGGACTCTTCAAGACCATTTGGTTTTCTGGATACATTTTCCTTCCAACGACACTGAAGATGGGAAGAAACTGTCCATGGTCAAGTGGCTGGTGGGTCACAAAGCCAGGACCTTGGAGTGGAACCCTGATCCAAAGTTCTATGCTCATTCCACTACTGAATTTATTTCAAGGTGACCAAGAAATTGCCCTGGAAACTCCCCACCAAAGTCACCATTCTTGCCTGTTCCCAGGTGCAGGCAGACAGAGCAGGGATCGGCAGGTGACATTGAAAGGCCATTTCAGGTGCAGTGGTCTCTGCCCAACCTCCTGATGCAAATGCCAACAGCCCAGACCACACAAAGAATGATTTGTCCTTCTCAAATGCTCCCACACACGTTTCGCAGTAAACCCTGTGCAGCTGAGGCTGATTGAGCAAGCACGTACATTCTCCTCTGCGCTGTCTGAGGACATCTAAAAACCTCACCTCGACCCTCTCTGTACTTCTTGGTGAGTCTGCAGAATTGTTTCCTTCCTCACAAATACACAGGCAAGCATGGGGTTGCTCAGTTAGGATGCACATCCTCTGCCAAGTCACGGCAACAGATTCACCCTCGGCTCCTCACAGTGATCCTTCAAGTCATCCTCAGCAGCCACAAGGCACCCCTGGCAGGTGGGGTCCTGGACCCTGACTTCCAATCTCCCCCCACAGAAAGTCCATTGCTCTGACACTCCAAGCTCCTTCCCACCATCACACTACACTCACCTGTTCCAGGGAGCTCCCAGAATGCACTGTGGCGCTGCCACCTCCTGGTTCCCCCTCCCCACTACTTGTTCCCATGCCAGCTCAAACATCAGCTCTGCTGGAAAACTTCCCAGCCCCACTCCTATTCCAAGTACTAATGAACCAGTTCTCCCCGCCCCCAACCCGTTTCCATGGTGCTTGCTTTGAATCTCCATTGTTTTTATCATGGCCCGAGTTTTAGATAGCTGGAATATTCCCATCTCCTCCATCTGTGAGGGCCTTAGGTCAGGGGCACTGCCCATGGCGTCTTTGTGTCCTGCCCAGAGCTGCACCTGCCCCGTGTGCTCTATAAATACACAATGTGCAGAGAAAAAAGCTCTGTGAGAAATATGGAAAAGGGAGAAACATGCAAAAAGGAGTCCTGGTCTCCAGGAAACACATTCTCTCCTGTTCATCTCGGGGGAGCTTCCTTTTGAAGACCTGAAATGAGAAACACTCCCAAGAAGTCCCCGTTCCATTGGCTATCCTCCCCAGAGTGATGTTGGAGCCAAAGCCCAGAGTCTGGGTGTGGGAGATAGAAGGGTTCGACACCGTAGTCCGGGCTGATAAAACCAGTGTCCACCTCCAGCAGGCCAAAAGTGGCCTTTGGAAACAGACAGACTCCCAGTCCTGTCTTCTCCCTTCGTGGCATTGGATGAATTACTTACAATTTTCTAAGCCTTGGTTGCCTTATCTGTAAAACAAGCAGGTCTGCCTCACACAGGTGAGGAGGGTAAAGGAACCAAGGCCACTCTGAGTCTGGCTTGGTACCCTCAGTGAGCCAGGGTTGGCACCTGCTCTTCAAATCTCAGCAGGACCCAGAAGCACTCTGTGCAGCACTGACTTCAAACTCCTCCCATCTTTTAACCAAATACCCTACTCATCTCTACCAGCATAAATCTGGTCTTTAGGTAAACACCTGGAAGCCTTGCTAAGGCTTCATCGTCCCTCTTTGTGAATGTACCCATGTCCTGGGCTCACTGAACGATGGTGTCTGACATAGGTGTCATGGGACAGCTTCCCTCTGAAGCGCACCTCAAGACCATGGGCCCTCAGTCTGCATCTCATCATCCACCTGTCTGGGCCACTTCATACCTTGGCTGCTGTGGACTGCTGACTCTTGGGAGATATTACTGTCATAAGGACGGCTGGCCTCCTCTCAGGACCTCTGTTCTGGAAGACCTGAGTCCACACACTTTCCTCCAGGCAGGAGGCAGGGATGGCTGGCAAAAATGAACTCTTTCACCCAATACTGGAAAGGGAAGTGACTTTGGCACTCGAGTGGGAAAGCTGACAGGACTGAGGGTAAACATCACTTGTGCTGTCAATCCTGACCACATCTCAAATTCCTCCTCCGAGTCAGAGCGAGTCAGAGTGTATGCACTGAAGTGCAGCCGGGTCAAGCCAAGAACATGGGTCAGATCAAACAAAGCACTTCTGCAAGACTGATCTTATCCAGAGTAGTGCACAAATGGTTAAGGAAGGCTGCAAAGCTAAGGAAGATGGCCTCATGGAGGAGGTGAGCCTGAGGGAGCAGCCACCTTAAGTCCACCTTCTGTAGCTCATTTCGCCTCGGCAACCTCCTATCCCTCCACGTTTAGTCCTCAGGGTTCTCCAGCCTCCCAGATCTGGGCCCTCATTGACATGCCATGCCCCCTTCTTCCCTCCCATTTGCTTTCTCAGGGCCTCGGGTGTCCCTGCACATCTCATCCCACAGGCCCTACTTTCCCATGGTCTTTGCACCTGCCCTTGGTGGCACTTTCCATTTGCCACCACACAGGTTTGCACTGTCCCGGCTGGCTCCCAGTGAGGACAGGGATGGTCCTTGCTCACTGCTATATGTTTAGCACCCTGCTCATTTTCATTCACTGAAGGAAGGAGTGGACCAACACAACAGCCCTTGAGCCACCAGCCCAGGCAGGAAGACCTGATTCTTGGCTCTGACAGCAAATACACAGCCTGGAAGTCACCTGCACAGGTGCCCTGATCGAACACCGGGCACACAACAGCCATAGCCTCAGTAAGCCACAGAGGGTCCAGCTGCAAACCAGGGCTCAGAGCAGAGCGATGCGGCTTCACTTTGGCATTTCAAAGGTGGGGGGGGGCGGTGGCACCCTACACAGTTGTCCTACTTAGCCAGCCTCCTTCCTCAGGTTGTGTCATAGGATTCTGAGTGCCTGTGGGGCCAAGAATGCTCAATGGTGTCACCTGTCTTCTCAGGCTCTAGCAGGTACAGAGAAAAAGTGCCAGAGCCAAAAAAACAGATGCTAGGACCTGAGTGCCAACAATCACCCCAGACACTTGGTGCCTTGTTTGACCTGAGAGGTAAAGACACCTCAGTGATACAGAATGGGCAAGCCCAGATGGCATCAGGGTCCCCAATTCAAGGTACCCAGAAGTCACTTGGTAGCTATGGGATCAAAGTCAAATCTTGAGTCAAAAAGTAAGGTTAACACTCCCAAGGAGCTAAAGGGACACTCAAGGCTGGCCAACTATGTGCAGCACCACACATCATGAGTGACATGCACTTCAACCTCACGGGAAGTAGGAAGCTCACCTTTAGCAGTATCTGGGCAAAAGGATACTGAGGTGTGGGTTCTTGTGAGCTTTGGCCAAGCACCTGAGGTTTTAGGAAATTCCCAATGAAACAGGAAGTGGCTTCTTCCTTAGGTAATTTCTACTTTATCCCTTTTTTTCCCCCAATTCTACAGTTCTTAGTCACCCTCCTTACTCAATTGTTGCTCTTCAAAGACAGTTTTTATAACACAGTTTTTTTGTGCCTGGAAGTTGAAGCAGTCACCGTCTGGGTTCTTAATAAGAGAAGTGACAAAACAGATGGCCCAGTGCAGAGTCAGCTTTACAGAGGGACAGAGCCCTGGACTAGGTTCCTCCTAGCTCTACAGGCATCTCTTGCCCCTTCCTGTCAAGACAGTCTGATCCCATAAATCAACACAGTCCAGGATTTTAGTGACTGGCATTTCTATCTCCCCTCCATTTTACCCACTGAAGTTCTCCCATCTGCAATGGTGACAGACCACTGTGCAGGACACTCTGAAAAGGTGGAAGGGCTGCTGCTCATGTCTTTCCTATTCACAGCCCTAGGGAGACTGAGGATGAGATTTGCATGACCACTCCAGGAAAAAGCCCCATTTTCACCCATCACAGAAGTCATTCCACTGACAGGAAGTTCCTTCCTCCAGGAGGCCTGCCTAAGGCTGAGGGACATAGAAAAGGCACGTGCCAATAGCCAAGAAAGGACAGGAAACAGTGCCAGAAATCTATGGCCCCAGAATACACAGCACCCACCAAAAATAACCAGTGACGTGGGAGAAAAGGTTACTGACTTTGTGAAACAGACCTGTCCCCACCCCAGGATCTTCAGTGCCCCCCCATATGCTGGAGAACCCACAGCCAGGCTGGAGCCATGAGGCCTTGTGAGGTGCACGTGCTGAGGCAGGTAAAGAGGCAACACACCTGGCAGAGTTTGTAAAATGTTTATTCCCCTGATAAAAGTTGTCCACAAAATATACGGGTCTTCAATTTTTATTTTTGCATGGCTCTTCACTCTGAATTACTGGCTCACAATCCAAGCCAGTTCTGTGTTTTGCTCTTCAAAATTGTATTATTGTTTTAAGGAGAAAGTTCTCACTGACCATGAAATTACATAATGCAAATGAAATAAAAAATGGCCTACTGTGGGTACCCCAGGTTACAGAGCAGCTCTCGGCGGGCGAGCAGTTCTCCCGCCTCTTGCAGCAAAGGGAATCACAAGAAGGCCATCGGCACCTGCACCCCCCCGCACCCCACCACCAGATAAAGGCCAAGCTTCTCACTATTCATCCATGCTGCTCAGGCCCCAGACAATTCAATAGAAGACTAAAATCCAGTCAATCGCCTCACTTCCTCTTCTTTGTAGAATATAATTTTTCCTCAAGCGGGACTGGAACAATGCCTTCACACTCTTTTACTTCCTGGGTCAGAGGGTGTTTAACAACATTTGGTCTGATCACATCGACATCTCGAGACAAATGCTCCATTACACTATCAACAACTGTTGTTGGTGCATAAAAATCCACCAAGAAATACCTGCAATAAAATAGAAATTGGTGAATTCCTGCATTCTGAAGTGTTCTACAATTCTGATCAATGTTTTCATTTTACTCTTCCCAGATATACACCAACTACTCATAAACACAAGACCCCTTCATTTAAAACAGAAATTCAGCTTACGAGCATGCAGTATACACCCAACCTGCCTGGCTCTCCCCATTATACTCCTGTGGAAATGTGAATGTAAACTAACTTTATGGCAGCAAAAAGGCATTATGACATACTGTGGGAAATACAAGAAAATATGGTAAAATTATGGGGCAAGAACAGAATTTTCTAGCCCATTAATAAGACTGGATTTTTTTAGGCCATCAGTTGCTATTCTTTGTAAAAACATCCACAAGGTAGTCTTCTAATTTTCCCAAGGATTTTGGGTGATTTAATGCACCTAAGAGATACAGTAAGGACCACCAGTTAACTACACAAACAAGGAAAAAGAAGACTACATTGACTACATTGTATGTACAAGAAATGACAAGAAACAAAAAGAAAATGCCTTGAACTTTGGGGTAAGAAAAAGAAAGCACATGCATCTCAGGGTGGGCCGATGCTCACGGGCCCTGCAGAAAGCCGTAGTTTAAGGACTCATGGCCCCCTTGCTCCCTCGGGCCTGCTGGAGGAAGTCACAAAGGACAAAGCACCCTCCTCTGCGCAACCCTCTTCATGGTTCTAAACACTGGAGCCTCCCTTGTACTCTTTGAGGTGGACCACAGTGCGCTTAAAGAGCCATGTAGGCACAGTAGTTGGGAATTTGGTGACGTTCTAGTTGGCAGTTTTTCAACATCACCTACTTTGTTCTAGCCACACCTTTTCTCCTGGCCTTGGCCCTCACTGCTCCCGCAGGTAGAAATGTTCTTTGTCCAAGTTCCATGCGCCTCATCCCTCACTTCCACACGGCTCTGTCCAAATGTCGCCTGCTCAGAAGCCATCTCTGACTTCCCTAAAGTGGTATACCCGCCCCAGCCACCAAGCCTCAGATGCTGTCTCCCTTGCTCAGTGCTTTCCCAGAGCACTCAGTCACCCTGGCACAGTATGTGTTTGTTTACTGGGTGCCCCACTCCACTAAAACTAACTGATATAGAGAGAAGGTCTTTGTTGTCCCCAGCATCCTGAATAGCCTGACATCAGCAGGTCCAGGGAAACTCTTCCACAGTGGTGGTGCTGGCATGAACTGTGCAATTCTCACAGAAAGCACTAAAAACCACATTGAAAATGAACACGTTCTGCAAGGAAGAAAGTCACAAGAAAAAGGATGGCATTCTATGTAATTTAATACAAAGAAAGTTCAAAATTTTCAAGCAAATTTCTGGGGACTGAACTCAGGCGTACTCTAATCATTGAGATACATACCCACCCCTTTTAATTTTAAGATAGGGCCCCACTAAATTGCTGAGACTGGCCTCAAACTTAATCCTCCTCCCTCAGCCTCCTAAATTGCTGAGATTATAAGCACGTACCCACTGCACCCAGCTTAAATTTTGAGTGACTGTTTCTTCTTAGCTAGCACTACTGGGAAAATCATTCAGGTAAACAAACAAGAGATGGGAAAACATGTGCCAAGCAAAAAAAAAAAAAAAAAAAACTAATCAAAATAGAGCTCAAGAGGTTATAGCCTCTGAAGCCAAGAAAATACCAGGGATAAAAAGGAGAGAATTCATTCATGGTGGATTCACCAAGAAGATAGCAACCCCAAATGTGGATGCACCAAATACCAGAGCTTCAGCATGCAGAAGGCAAGAATTCACAGTACTGAGTGGAGAAACAAATTCACAATCAACTGGAGACTCTTCACATTCTTCTCCCAGAAATTGAGAGAACCAGTGTGCAGGATATCAGCAAAGATAACAAAAAGTGAGCACCAACCAACTGGAAGTTAATGACATTTACAGAACCCGTCACTCGGCCAAAATAGGACACAGATCGTGTACCAAGGTCAAAGATATTCTCAGATATAAAATAAGTGTCAGTGAAGCTGGGGAGCCAAGGAGCAATCATGACAGTTAGCACCATGGAACCATGGTCAGCCATTTGAGCAAGGGGACCATGGTGGCCATACTGTGACAGGGAGATATATCAATAAAACCAATTCTCCAGGCCAATAACATCCATCCCATTACAACAGGGAACAGTCCACCCTGTTATCAACTGCTTATGAGTGATGAATTTAACACATCTATTGTCTTTTATGTTGGCAACACAATTGAACTCTCTTGTTGTTGTCAACTTACTGTTAACACTCTGAACTCTGAAAGATGGAGAGAGAGTAGTTAGTTTGATGGACTTAGAAGTTTTGAAATCAGCTGAAACAGGTGGATTGAAGGTTGGCCATATAGTGCCCTGTAATGAAGGACGTGGCAGGAGCAAGTAGTTCTTTCCCCACCTCAAACCAGCAAGCCCCAGCAATAGAATGGGAGCTCATCATCTATGGGTTATGGTGCCTCAAAGACATCTGGAAAACCTGGAGGAACCAGCCTATTACATCTTTGGGGGGGGGGGCATAGTCCAAAGTGGTACCCATTGCCAGCCCACCTCTTACCAGTCCAAGTGGACTATTTATGCTCATGTTAGCAACAAAAGTAAAATCTGTACCTGGAGCAATTCGAGGAGAAGTAAACTTTTCTCTATAGAACTAGTTGTTAAAAGTGGTAAAATCAAAGCTACTACTTTCAGTTGGCAAGTAGACAAGTTCTTTCTCCTTACTGAAGTTAAGAAGATATATTATTTCTCAAAATGCACCCTGAAGATCGCTAACAAATAATTTTCTGCTGTTAAAAATGACTATGAGATGACTTTCAATGAGACTTGTGTCATGCCCTGTGAAGATGATCATCATCTACCTAAAGTTCAGTTTGATTTCACTGACATCGGTGACTTAGAGAACAAGTCTAAAGACACACTTGTAGACATAATCGGGATCTGCAAGAGCTATATAGATGCTTCTAAAATCATAATAAAATTTAACAACAGAGAAGTTTCTAAAAGAAATATCTATTTAATGGACATGTCAGGGAAAGTGGTGACTGCTACTCTGTGGAGAGAAGATGCTGACAAGTTTGATGGTTTAGACATCCTGTGATAGCCATTAAAGGAGCCAGAGTTTTCCATTTTGGAGGACAGAACATTTCCGTACTATCTGAATTCAAGCACTGTCATTTTGAACCCTGACATCTCAGAGGCCTATAAGCTTTGTGGATGGTTTGACTCAGAAGAACAAGCCTCAGATGTTCCCTCTCTAAACTAAAGAGTGGAGAAGAAGGAGAAGGCAACACCAACTGGAAAACTTTATATGAGGTTAAATCGGAGAACTTGGGCCATGGTGACAAGGCTGACTATTTAGCTCTGTGTCTTTGCAAAGAGAACTGTATGTACCAGGCTTGCCCAACTCAGGGCTGCAATAAGTGATTGACCAACAGAATGGATTATACCACTGTGAAAAGTGCGACAGTGAATTTGCCAATTTTAAATACAGCATGATCTTGTCGGCAAATATTGTAGATTTCCAAGAAAATCAGTGGGTGACTTGTTTCTAGGAGTCTGCCAAAGCTATCCTCGGACGAAATACTGTTTATCTTGGGGAATTAAAAGAGAAGAATGAGCAGGCATTTGAAGAAGTTTCCCAGAATGCCAACTTTCGATCCTTTACATTCAGAATCAGGGTCAAACTGGTGACCTACAATGATGAGTCTCAAATTAAGGCCACCATGATGGATGTGAAACCTGTGGACCACAGAGACTACAGCAAAAGACTGATGATGAACCCCAGGAGAAATGCAGTGGTGTAGGAGAGCAGTGTGAGTGGGCACAAGTTTGAAAGCGCAAAAATGGAGTCAGTCTCTTCCCACCTCCACATAACAGAGTGTAGAGCACCTCTGTGGTGGAGTGGAAGTTTCCCCTGTATGCACCTGTTGGGACTCAGGCAGAGCAAAAAGTGCTCAGAGGGCTATGGTGCAAACTGTCAGACCCAGGCATCAGTGGCAGGCATCACAGCCAGTCCCTCTGACTTTTATTAAAATTTCATTATCTTCAAGCAGTAATTATGTCACAATTGACACTAACTCTATAAACAGTGAGATAAATTATGTCACTCAAAAAATAAAAAAATAAGTGTCAATAAATCTAAAGGAACTCAAATAATAAGAAAGATCTTCTAAATATTGAATGCTAAAATGCACATTTAAATGAAGAATGGATTAAAAGAAATCAAAAAGAAAATTACAAAGTACTTTAAAATAAATGAAACTATAACATATTGAAAATTTGGGGATGCCACAAAAATAGTACATAGTGAAAAATTGAGCCCTAAAAACACTGATATAAGTAAAAAGCAAGTCCTCAAATCAATGATGTCAGTTTCTACCTCCAGAAACTGGAAAAAGGAGCAAATTAAATTCAATAATAGGGAAGAAGATAAGATGGATGGATTGGAGCAGAAATCTCTAAAAAGGAAAAACAATAATAATGAAACTAGTTCAGTGAGATCAATAAAATCAATATGTCTCTAGTCAGATCAATAAAAAAAGAGGTAAGATAAATTATCACTATTAAGAAAGAGAAAAGTGAAATGAAACAGCCTTTTAAAGTACTAAAAGGATAGTTGGGGATATTATGAACTGTTTTGAGGCCTGCATTATCTTTTTTTTTTTTTTTTTTTTTTAATTTTTTATTGTTGGCTGTTCAAAACATTACATAGTTCTTGATATATCATATTTCACAATTTGATTCAAGTGGGTTATGAGCTCCCATTTTTACCCCATATACAGATTGCAGAATCACATCAGTTACACATCCATTGATTTACATATTGCCATACTAGTGTCTGTTGTATTCTGCTAGAGGCCTGCATTATCTTATACCAAAACCAAAGACATCACAGAAAAAGAACAGATTGATTTCTCATATGCACAGATGAAAAAAATTCTAGATAAAATTTCAGCAAAATGATCACTATAATATATAAAAAGGACAATCTATCATGA